CTCAGGGAGCTGTTCAATGTTTTCACTGCATTTTGCACAGAGGCTTTTTTAAAGTATTGATGATAGCAAAGTTAAATATTGTTACAAATAATAATAAAAAAGAAATATGTTTAAAATAACACAGACTTCTAATCTACAGTATAGAACTATGAAAAAAATACAGTTACACAAAAGTGTTCCACTGTAAAGATGGTGTAGTTTGTTTTGTTGCAACCTGAAGTGTGAAATAAACTTTAGTGGAGTTTGAAAACAAAATATGTGTATAGGTTTATTATATCTGGTTGAACGATGTGTGTTTTATTTTATGTTTTATTTTTTTTTGGGGGGGCGTGGAAATTTTATTGTAATCCAAAGGGGGGCCCAGAAGAAAATCTTTGGGAACCACTGCCTTAAGACGATTTAAAGAAAACCACAAACTCTCTGATCTTATGCTAGGATGTTTCAGGACAACCTGACGTCTCCCTGAGCTACGGAAGCCCAACGAGGACATTGGCTCATCTGATGGATCCTTGGGTAACCATGACAACCGCCCCCAACCTGCTGGGTCTATTACCAAGGAGCGAGCATCCAGCACGTAGGACTCATAGCCTCCTTCCTGCAGCAGGTGGGCGGATCGCACCTGGACCGGAACCAGACACAGGAAACTGAAGGCAGAGAGAGTTCTGTCAGAACCTCTGAGACCAGAACCAGCCAGGAGGTCTGCTGACCCAGCAGAACCTGCTCCTCAGCCATCATGTTCTGGTTCTGCTGGGATCATTTGGGTCGGTACCTGTTTACGACGTCTGCAGCCGATCCTGGAGCAGCAGGCTGATGAAGAGGAGGAGGAAGGTGGTCGTCAGGGAAGCCGTCTGAGAAGAAGGGGTCGTCGTCCAGGTCCCTGAGGGACAGAAGCAGCCGGTCAGTCCGAGTACACCCCTCCCCTGCCTGGGGGCCCCAGTGATGCACCTACTGGGGGTCCTCGCCCTCCTCGCCGCTGTCAGGCTGCCGCTCCTCTGGGCCCCCTACAGGTGACGACAGGTAACTGCGGCTTTGCAGGAAGCTCAGCACCAGGTGGTCCAGAATGTCCCTGTGAGGCTTCTGTAGCAGCTCTTCCACCAAAGACAGAGACGTCATGCTGATCTGAGGACACAGAGACTCAGCGGAGCCTAGATCTCAGGTGCCTGGCTTTGTGGGCGTGGCCCTCAGCCTCACCTGCTCAGAGACGTGGTCGCAGCGACGCAGCAGCTGCTCCATCAGGGACGGCGTCCTCAACAGGAAGTGGAGGAGCTGCTCCAGCAGAGACGGGGACTGGACCATTCTGACAACATGGCAGAGGACAGAGGTGGACACCAGGATGTTCTGCTCACACCTGGATGCCGTATACAACTGCATGTTAGGCTCCGCCCCCTCAACAGGAAAAACAACAGGAGGAAGAAGGAAAGCGTACGTGTGCAGCAGCTGAGGAAGAAGAGTCTCCATGAGCCACAGGCCACGGACACATTGGGACACCTGGACAGACAGAACCTGGACAGGACACCAGACGGATCAGAACCAGAGGTCTGAGCTCACAGCTGCAGCGGGAGATCAGTCAGTCTGACTCACTGATTACATTCAATTCAATTCTATTCAGAAGAGAGAAGAGAGCACATCCAGTTAGTCACAGTCAGAGAAACAGGACTACACTGAAAAACAGGCACCTCTGCTGGTAGTAGCTGTGCTGCTGCCATCAACACCTTTGTTTCTAGATGTTGGAGCTTGGCCTGTTTTCCAGTGTAGTCCTGTTTCTCTGACTGTGACTAACTGGATGTGCTCTCTTCATCCTCTGACATGGGAGCTGGCTCGGAGCTCGTCTGCCTGGCTGTGTGTTTCCTGGACGGGGCCGCCTGTGGAGCTGGTTGCCTTTTGTATCTATGCTTCTTTTTCTATGTCTGCTTCTGTCTCCTTGAACCCCAGTGGGCCTCAGCAGATGGCCGCTCACACTGAGCCTGGTTCTGCTGGAGGTTTCTTCCTGTTCAAAGGGAGTTTTTCCTCTCCACTGTCGCTACAAGCATGCTTAGTGTGAGGGATTGCTGAAGAGTCAATGAGTCGATGCAATCAGCTGGTTTTCCTTAGATAGAAAACTTTGAATCAATCTGACTGGATGATCTGGTTGATCTGGATCTATAAAGTGACCTGAGATGACATGATGTGAATTGGAGCTATAGAAATAAAGTGAAGTGAAAAGTAGAGTAAACCTGCAGAAGTACTACTGCAGGTTTACTGTAGTCGTACTACTATAGTATCTCTGCAGTAGTAGAGGGGAGTACCTGGGGAGCGTCTGTGGTCAGCTGATCCAGGAAGTGGAACCAGGAGAGGAAAGAGGTCAGGTGATCCGGTTGGGACTCTGACCTATAAGGACACACAGAGGTCAGATGAGGTCTGCTGCTGTCTAGCCAGTCTCCATGGTAACCACCGACCTCCATGAGGGGCGGGGCCAGCTCCTCAGCTCCTCTGCCTCCAGCTGCTCCAGGGGCAGCAGGCAGTAGAGCTCCTGCAGCCTCCCAGCCAGCAGCTCTCCCAGCTGGGCCCCAGCAGGAAGCAGCTCCTCTGAGGATCCATCCAGGAGGGCCGACAGCAGCAGGAGGCCCTCACAGGCCTTCAGACGCACCGGGGGCCGCTGAGGAGACAGGAGCACAGCAGGAGGACGTAAGGACACCGCAGGAGAACATGAGGACGGCTGCTAAGAAACTCACAGGACTCCTGCTGAGCTGCACCAGAACCCACAGCAGACCCTGCTGGGAGTGGGCGGGGCTTGATGCAGAGGGCTCTGATTGGCTGCTGGCTGCATCAGAGCTCTGACTGGAGGACAGCTGCTGGTCTGGGAGCTGAAAGCACAAAAATCATCAGCAGGAGGCGGAGCTAAAAGCTCTTAGCTTTTCCTCAGCTGCTCACCTGCAGAACGTTTTGGAGAACATGTGGATCCTGGTTCAGTCTGCTGCAGACGGCAAACAGGAAGCGGACCTCCTCCTTCTCAGCACCGGAACCAGGAGGAGCACAGATTTCAATCAGCTTCTGATGAAGGAGGACAAACATGGAGCCTTAGGACCATGGGATGGGTCTGAACCCGGTCAGAACCAGGCCAGAACCGGGTCAGAACCAGGCCAGAACCGGGTCAGAATGTTCTAGATGTTTCTGCAGAGGTCGGGTTCCTGCTGTGGTGACTGTTGCTCCAGATCATCAGTCAATGACCGTGATCCTACAGCCCTTTGGATCCTCCCCAGTAGCTAAACTGGAGCAGCCTGCTGAAAGGATTGGGTCAGAACCAGTCCCCAGCTGGACAGTAGCTCACCTGTACTGGTCTGTAGACGGGGACGAGCTGCAGAAGAGGCTTCTGCATCTGAAGCAGCAGCTTGGTGACAAAGATCAGGACCTGCTGGGTCATCCCTGGAGGATACTAAGGAGGACAGAACATCCATGAGTCCGATCCACCTTCTTCCCAACAGAACCACAGGATTCTGAGCCCCACCGAGCACCTAGATCAGAACCAGGAGGGTTCAGCAGGTGAGCTTACCTGAGCCTTCGCCAGGGTGGTCATGGTCTCCAGAAGTTTGTGCTGCAGCAGGTACTGCAGACAGGGCCCGGTTTGCTCCACATCCTGGACCAGAACACAGGGAACGGGTCAGAACCGGCTGGCTTAAAACGCACCACAAAATTTTTCCCTCTGCCTGGAGAGAACCCTGCCTTAGAGTGAGGGTTGGAACCGAAGAACCTCCCCCATCAGCCTCTAGAACCTCCTCCATCAGCCTCTAGAACCTCCTCCATCAGCCTCTAGAACCTCCTCCATCAACCTCTAGAACCTCCT